TACTTTCAGTTTTAGGAACAGTTTGTTAACCTCAAAAAGAAGCCTCCTACTGATTGACAGTTATTCTTCATTCTTCCCGACCCCCACCCGCCTAGACAACCACTAATCTAGTCTATATCTGTATGGATTTGCCTATTCTAGGAATCACATATAAATGTAGTCATATAATATGTGTTCTTTTGTGACTGACTTCTTTCACTTAGCAAAATGTTGTAGAATGTTATCAGTACTTCATTCCAAATAATATAATATTGTCAAATAATAATATTCCAAATTATATTCCATTGTATGGGTATGCCACATTTTATTTAAGACATTCATCAATTGGTATTTAAGTTGTTTCTACTTTTTGGTTATATTGATTAATGTGAACATTTGGACACTTATTTTTGTTCAAACATGTTTTCATTTCTCTTGAATGGGTATATACCCAAAAGTGGAATTGCTGTGATATTCAACCTTTTGAGGAACTGCCAAGCTGTTTTCCAAAGCAGCTATAGCATTTTACATTTCTACTCAAAATGTCTGAGAATTCCAGTTTCTCGCCAACACTTGTTACTGTCTTTTTTATTTTATTCATCCTAGTGGAGGTGAAGTGGTATCTCATTGTGCTTTTCACTTGCTAATGTCCAATAGTGCTGAGCCTCTTTTCACATGCCTATAGGGCTTTTATGTATCTTCTTTGGAAAAATTATCTGCTTGATTCTTTGCCCATTTTAAAGTTAGATTATGTGTTCCTTTATGATTGAATTATGAGAGGTCTTTGTGTTAGGTATAGGTCTTTTACAGAAATATAATTTAAAATTTTTTCTCACTTTGTATGAGTCATCTTTTCACTTTCTTTTCTTGTTTGTTGATTTTTAGGGGTTTTTTTGTTTTGTTTTTTGTTTTTTTGTCTTTTGAAGCAGGGTCTCCCTGTAGCCCCAGCTGTCCTGGAACTCACTGTGTAGACCAGGCTGGCCTTGAACTCACAAAGATCTGCCTGCCTCTGCCTCCCAGGTGCTGGGACTACAGGCATGCGCCACCACACCTGGCGATTTTTAATTTTAAATATTTGATTTATTATTTTATGTGTGTGTGTCTGTATGTCTGTGTCTGTATCTGTGTGTATGCTCATGGAGGCCAAAAGAGGGCATTGGATCCCTTGGAGCTGGAATTACAGGTATTTGTAAGCCACCTGATAAAAGTGCTAGAATCCAAACTCTGGTCCTCTGGAAGAGCAGTAGGCACTCTTAACCACTGAGTTATCTCTCTAGCCCTCTGTTTGTTTGGTTTTATTGAAATAGGGTTTCACATAACCCTGGTAAGCCTTAAACTCTCTATGTTGCTGAGGCTGGTCTTGAACTCCTGATCCTCCTGCCTCCACCTCCCCAGTGCTAGGATTACAGGCATGGTCCACCACATTGGCTCTTTGCACTTTCTTGATTGTGGTCTTTGAAGCACAAACGTATTTAATTTGGATCATGTTCAATTTATCTTGTTTTCTACCTTGTGCTTTTGATTAAAAAAAAAAATCATTACCTAATCCAAGGCTTAAAGCCTTCCTTTAGGGGCTGGAGAGATGGCTCAGCAGTTAAGAACACTGGTTGTTCTTACAGAAGACCTGGGTTCTAATCCCAGCACCCACATGGCAGCTAACAACTGTCCATAACTCCAGTTCCAGGGGATCTGATGGCCTCTTCTGTCCTCTGTGGACATTGCATGACACGGTGCACTTACCTACATGCAGGCAATACACTTATACACATAAAATAAAAGTAAGCCAGGCATGATGGTGCAGGCCTTTGATCCCAGCACTCAGGAGGCAGAGGCAGGTGGATCTCTGTGAGTTCAAGGCCAGCCTGGTCTACATAGTGAGTTCCAGGACAGCTGGGGCTTACAGGGAGACCTTGTCTCAAAAAGACCAAGTAAATAAATAATAAATGAATAATTTTTTTTGAAAAGCCTTCCTTTATATAATTATCTTCTAAAAGTTTTATGGTTTTAACTCTTCCATTTAGGTTGTTGATTCATTTTGAGTTAATCTGCCCATATGAGTTTAATGACTTATTTTGAAGACCAAAACTTTATTTTTCATGGAAAGGTGATAATTTTACATCTCTTTGGGGTATGGTATAATGTCATTTGTACACTGTTGATTAACTAGGATATCCATCATTTTAAACATGTATTAATTTCTTGTGTTAGAACATTCAAAATCTTTTTTCTAGATATTTTGGCAAAAGTTTAATTTTAATAGAAAACAACCATCATGGGTTAGAGAGATGGCTTGTCAGAAAGTGCTAGCCATGCAAGCATGAGGGTCTATCTGACTTGACACCCTCGGTTCCCAAATTAACAACTGGGTGTGGCTGCATGCACCTGTAATCCCAGCACTGGGGAAGCAGAGACAGGAGGGTCTTTGGGGGCTTGCTGGCCAGATAATCTGGCCAAATCAGTGAGCTCCCAGTTCAATGAGAGACGCTGTTTCAAAAAATAATATGGAAAGTGATTGTGGAAAACACCTAATGTTTACCTCACACATGCAACACACAAACATGTATATCTGCACACAATTTGTTGATTTTTTTTTCTTTCATGCACCATGGTTTGGGTTTTATATCTAAGAAACCTTTGTCTAACCCAAATGCATAGGATTTTCCTTAGTTTTATTTTTGAGAAATTTGGTAATTTTAGCTCTAACTGTACTCCCATTTTATTTGGTTGGTTGGTTGTATTTTGAGATAGGGTCTCTCTATAGCGCTAGCTATCCTGGAACTCACTATGTATATCAGACTAGCCTCAAACTCACAAATATGCATCCACATTGCTGGAATTAAAGGTGTGGGCCAACATGCCTAACTTATTATGCTCCATTTTGAGGGGTTAAATATGTGATGTGAAGTAAGGGTGTAAATTCATATTTATGTGTATTATGGTTCACTCTCTGAGAGCATTGTAAGTGATAAAAGTTATAAAGCCTGGCATGGTGGCACCTGCCTGTGATCCCATCACTTGGGAGGCAGAGGCAGGAGGATCTCTGCGTTCAAGGCCAGCCTGGTCTACGTAGTGAGTTCTGGGCCAGTTTGTGATAAAGGGAGGCACTGTCTCAAAAAGATTTTAAAAAATTATAAAATAATTATTGTAGTGTAATGCCATTCATACAAAATTTATAGGCATAAAAATACTATATATTCCTGGTCTACATAGTAAGTTCCAGGACAGCTGGGGCTACAGGGAGACCCTGTCCCCCAAAAAAAAAAAAAAAAAAAAAAGACCAAAAAAAAAAAATACTATATATTATTCATAGTTACACATGTACACATAGGTAAAAATTTCATACCAAAATCTCTGGTAAGGAAGTAGGAAGGGAAAAGAGGAAGGGACTGACACTAGAAAGAATTGGTGGTAAAGGAATCTTCAAATTATTTGTACAGTTTTTAGTTTAAAATAAATTGTGTGTAATTATTCAAGTGGGGTGGTTTATGGTGTTATACTTTTTAATTTTCTGAGCATTTTATTTCTTAAAACATAGCATTATAGCACGCATATAGCACGCTTGTAATCCCAGTATTTACAAAGTAGAGACAGGAAAATCAGGAGCCCAAAGCTTCTGATAGTCATATAGCAAGTTCAAGGCCAGCCTGAGCTATGGGAGCCCCTATCTTTAAAATAATAATAATAATAATAATAATAAATAACACAGAGATGGCACAGTAAGAACCACAGAGAGCAGGGCATGGTGGCAAGATCCTGTAATCCTAGCACTTGGACAACCACAGTAGGAGGATCTTGAGTTTGAGGCCACCCTGGGTTACATGTAGCAAGAGCATATCTCAGAAAGCAAAAATAAAATAGGAACCCTAGAGAACAAACTATTTCATTCAGCACTCACATAGCTGCAGCAGTGAGGGAAAGTACTGTGTGTACTGCCTGGCAGCCTGTTTGGAGGCATATTCTTTCTGTATGTAGTATTTCTGAACTAAATCCCCAGAGGGATTCATGTGAGCTCATCCTCATATTTGGACTTCTTTTCTTTTTGTCCCACTTTTGCTTCCACAGAAACCTCCAGTCTGATTCCCCTGGCTCTGAACAGTGGAAGAGCTCCAGGCTCAGGGAACTACCTCTGCTTAGTTTTCTTCTACCTATCATCCATTGTTCAAATGACCTCTAAAAACCATCTCAGACTTTCATGAGGAACACTCCCCTCTACTGAACATGTGGCTACTCTCACCTTGTCCCAAAGGCTGCCCACAACAAATCTCCCGGTGTAGGTATGGCAGGTGCAGTGTGGCAGTCTTGCTGACCAAGCCCCCAGGAAGGAGCCAAGCTCCTGACCTGCAGCTCAGGGGTACAGTTTGATTGGGTGGGATCTAACCCCGCAGTGGGAAAGCCAAGTGCCCTTGGAGTAGAAGGGGTTATTCTAGCATCTGCCTCTAGAGAGCTATGCCATCTCCCACATGCTCCCGAGCAGTATCTCATGTGCTTTTGCTCTTTTTTATCTATAAAACTGATATAAAAAGACAGGCACTTTCTATCCATACATTCTAGGGGAAATCAGATGAGAAGACATAGGAATACTTGCATGCAAACATGAGGATGTTTGTGCTGTTTCCCCCTGGTGAGGTTCAACCCGTCTTGGATTTAAGCCAGTGTTTTGCCCAGTCTGTCTACTGCAAGGCCTCTGATTTGCTGCTGGCTACTTCCTTCCCACCTTTCTCAGCCTGTTTTATGTTTTTTTTTTTGAGATAGGGTCTCTCTCTGTAGCTTGGAACTTACTATGTAGCCCATATTGACTTTGAACTCCCAGCCATCCTCCTGCCTCAACCTCCCAAGTGGGAGGGTCTCAGCCCATTCTTAAAATGCTCTTCCTCCCTCTCTGCCCCTTTTCTTTTTCTTTCCTTCCTCTCCCCAGTCCTGTAGCCAGCCTGGCTCCTTTCTTTCAAGCATGATCCTGAGAAGTACTTACCCTAGAGAGGTTAGACACCCAAAATGACATGTTTTCTCTCTTGTCCTCCCAGGCTCAGGCCACAGGATCACCGCACACATCACCCACTCATGGAGGTGGCCGCTCCATGCCCATGCCTGTGTGCTCCACATCTGCTGGCTCCACCCCGACCCATGGCCCACCGGACTCATTGAGTGGAGTTGGGGGAGATGTGCAAGAGGCCTTTGCACAAGGTGAGTTTCCTGGTAAGTCTATGGGAAGCTGTGGAGCTAGAAGCATATACAATAATTCTACTGAGGCTTTTCCAATTGCTTTCCTTTTATGCTCTTGACTTTAGATGATTAGATATCATGCCTTAGTGATCAGATTTACAGTATAAATAACTCATGTTCTGGCCCCTTCTCTGTGATGGACTAGTCTTCAGTGAGAGGTCTAGAGACAGGTGTGTGCAGATGACTGGCCTCCTCGGTTTTGTGCTCCAGACTAAAGGAAGTGCCTTGCCCTTTGAGCTTTGCTTCCTCCAGAGGAAGTGTATGAAATAACCCAAAATCATACACTTGACCTAGAAGGTCCTTAGAACAAGCCAGAACAGGTCTCCACAGGACCTAGCTAAAGGTCAGTAGAAGGCATTTGCCATAGCCGTCTGAAGAGATAGAGACCTACAGTCTTAATGGGGAAGGAAGTCTTAAGGTTGGGGGGAGTGAGGAAGTGGGAAGTAGAGATACTGGAGAGTAAAGATCCCACCCGACTCCGCCCCAAGGCTGAAAGATACCTTGACACAAGGCTCACATGGAACCTTACTCAGTATTGTGGCTGCAAAACCTGGCTTGACAGTTTCCTGCTCTCCCAGTGGAAAGGACCGAGAAAGTAGGAATGGTAGGCCTCTCATGTGCTGGGAGCAGGAAGAGCTGCTGCAGCCCCATTTCCCCTTAGCTGTTATCCTGGGTTCCAGGGCCTAACTAGCTGGGGCATCTGCTCGGTGCTCTTCTTCATACCCACCCACGTGCATTGCCATCTGCTCTGACTCCCCTCAGGTACAAGGAGAAACCTCCGCAATGACCTGCTGGTGGCTGCCGACTCCATCACCAACACCATGTCATCCCTAGTGAAGGAGCTCCATTCAGGTGAAACCCAGAGCTGCCCACGAGTCTCTGCCTCCCCCCCCCTCATGCCCATACCCCCCTACCTTCTCCTACCATAAGGCACACAGTCTTACTTTCCACTCCATTTTCCCTTCTAGGAACACATGGGCTCTTCACCCAGTGCCTTCTTCCCACACATGATCACTGAGGGGCAGTTACATCTTTAGGTTTATCTTGAGAACATGTCTAATGGAGCAGATACAATCCTGACTTGAAGGAAACTCTGCTCTTTAGTACAGCCAGCCTGCTTTCTCCCTCATCTCTGCCTGCACTTTGTCCACAGCAGCTCTTTCCCTAGGCTGGCCACTACCTCATTCTGAAGCTATCCTGGATGTCGGCAATGGAGTCAGCACCAACACATGGCCTCTCTGCCAACTGCCCTTCAGCTCTCTCCTGTTTGATTCTGTTTTGAAACCCTGTCCTCTTCTTTTGTCCATGACTAGGCTCTGATCTCACCTGATGTTCCTGGGCTGCTGCTGCTTCCCTTCTTCATGCTCAGTCCTATTTGACTTCTTTCTCTGTCTCTCCATCACTCAGCCACTGCAGTGACTTCCTCAAGACCTCAGCTTTGTGACCTTTTCCCATAATTTAAAACCCAGGAAAGAGAGGAATTAAAAGATCACCACACCTCCAACTATTCCAACTATTCCTCGTAACTCTTTTATCAGTGACAGCCCCCAAGTGCTTAGGAATTGCTTTCTAACTGTCACATTTCCCATGTGGGCTCAAGCCAGTCACCCATTCTGCCTCAGGAGCTATATGATGCTCTTGTGCTCCATCTCATCCTGTCCTCATGCCTCCCTGAACCCAGCCCCTCACTGTACATGGACATAGCAGGGGAGGGGATACCTTCAGGATGACCTCACAGCTGATTAAAAGGTCCTTTCTCTAATACAGTTCCCTAATAGGCCTCCTTCCTACTTTCAGAAGGAATTTCTTACGGGATTTTAGACCTCGTATACACTTGTGCTCATGATCACTTTTTAGAGTTTATGCAAAACAAGTGGTTTATGAGCTCAGCATGTAAGAATGAGAGTGTGATGTAATTGTCAGGAATTGAGCCAGGTGTGGTAGTATACTCCTATAATCCCCAGCACTTGGGAGGCTTATGAATTCAAAGTCCACCTAGGCAACATAGTGTAGATTGGGGGGAGGAGGTTGGACATCAATTAATATGAAAAGATGGTTTTCATAAGATTATGTGTTACTTAGAAGGTACTTTAGCAATCCCATTGTCTAATCCCCTTCCTTTAGAAATGTGAGTGATTTTTCAGAAAACTGATTTGCTTGAGGTCACACAGCTGTTAGAGGCAAAGCTAGTTCTAGAACTTAGGCCTAGAGAACATAAAGCCAGGGCTCTGACCCCACCAATGATTGACAACAAATTCAGTCCTGTGAGGCCCCCTTTGTCAAGCATCAAACCTTATAGATTGACACAGAGTAAATGCACGCCCCTATAAGATGCAAAGATGTCCCTGTGACATGGGATGATACCAGTTCCTCAGTGGATGGAAGAGCCTTGCCCAATACACCAACACATGTTGGCTTTTTCTTTAACTGTGGTTTCACAGACTTCTGTTAGGATGAGGTGGATATTTAGGTTAACTTTCCCTTTTTTTTCTGACTTAAAAAAATGTGTGTATATGGCTGGGTGTGGTGGCGCACGCCTTTAATACCAACACTCAGGAGGCAGCGGCAGGCGGATCTCTGTGAGTTCAAGGCCAGCCTGGTCTACATAGTGAGTTCCAGGACACCTGGGGCTACAGAGAGACCCTGTCTCAAAAAGACCAAAATAATAATTATATATATATATATATGAATGTGTCTGAGTGTGGCCATATGCACATGAGTGCAGGTGCTGGTGGAAGCCAGGAGCATTGGATCCTTCAGGAGCTGGAGTGATGGTTGTGAGCTTGTGGTCGCTGGGACTTGAACTCAAGTCTTCTGGAAAAACAGTATATGGTTTTAACCACTGAGCCATCTCTCCAGCCCTTGGGTTGACTTTTCATATATTCCTGTAGTGTGCATGTGACACATATCTATAATTTGAGTTCCCAGCTTTTTTTTTTCAATTTAATTTTATTTTTATTTTAATGTGTATGCGTGTATTGCTTGCATGTATGTAAGTGCATCCATGTCATGCAATGCCCACGGAGGTTAGAAGAGGATGTCAGATTCCCTGGAACTGGAGTTTCAGATGGTTGTCAGCTGCTATATGGCCTGGGAATCGAACCCAGTTCCTCCGCAAGAGCAGTCAGTGCTCTTACCCACTGAGCCATCTCTCCAGCCTCCTTCCTAGCTTTTAAAAAATATTTTCAGGGGCTGGAGAGATGGCTCAGTGGTTAAGAACACTGGTTGTTCTTGCAGAAGACCCAGGTTCAAATCCCAGCACCCACCTGCCAGCTAACAACTGTCCATAACTCCAGTTCCAGGGGATCCGACAGGCTCTTTTGTCCTCCGTGGGCATTGCACGACATGGGTGTACTTATATACATGTAGGCAATACACGCATGCACATAAAATAAAAATATTTTAAAAAATATTTTCAAGGCCAGGCGTAGTGGCACATGCCTTTAGTCCCAGCACTTGGGAGGCAGAGCAAAAAAAAATATTTTCAAATAATGGAATCCTCAAATTCAAAAAGGTCTTAAAGATTATTCAGTCTAACCATCCACCAATAGAAAGGCCCTCAGTGTGCATATTTCAGCAAGACCTTTCATAACCAGCTCAAATCACTGGAAATTTCTTCCTTATTAAGGAGCTGAAATCTCCCTTTCTGTAGCATGTTGTTCCTCATATAAAGCAGCCCTGAGTCAATCTAGTCTCACTCTATAGGACACCTTTCAAATGTCTGATGACAAACAACCCTGTTCCTCCCATGTCATCTTTCTTTAGGAGATCTACCCCATCTTTTTATTGTTGTTGTTGTTGTTGTTGTTGTTGTTAGGAGATTCTACCCCATCTTTTTTTTATTGTTGTTGTTGTTGTTGTTGTTGTTTGCCTGCTTTCTTGAACTCAAATGCAAAATATTGCCTGTAACCCTGGTAGATATCCCCATCCTGGTCAGCAAAGAAGCCAGCAGGGAACGTTAGGCTACCTTGTTTCTTAGGCATGCAGGGTTCAGACTTATTGGGCATAGGCAAGGGACATTTAGCACAGGCTAAGGACCAGGCCTCCTAAGGTTCCCTGCTCACCAACCTGCCATGCTGGTGCTAGGTCAAAGGGTCACAGGCTTCCTGTGACTTGTTTCCTCAGAGAAGAAGGCACAGAGGAAGAAGAAGAGAAGATGCAGAATGGGAAAGCCAGAGGAAAAGGCATCAGTACATCAGGACCCCTAGTTTGAATGGGAGCCCAAGCTCTAGAACCAGTGAATGCCAACTTCTTTCCCCCTTGTTTCTGACCTCTTCCCTCTACACCCTCCCCATGCCTGCAGTCCCTACAGTTCCTCCTGCCTGTCCTTAGAACTGCCTTCATGTGCACCTACAGATAACAATGTCAAGTGATGACTGATACTCTGGTTGGGATACAGAGAGTGAATACAGACAAGATACAAAACATTGCCCTTCCTCATAGAGTTGGTAATCTAGTTAGAAAAGCAAGACTAAGATATGCAAAATAAGTGGGAGAGAAAATGAAGCAACAGAAAAGTTGATCAAGAAACATTAGATGTAGGGCTGCAGAGGTAGCTCAGCTGGTAGATTGTTTGCTTCTTACCTAGCATGCCCAAAGCCCTGGGTTCAGTCCCCAGCAATGTATAAACCACAGGAGTCATGGCACACCACCTGTAATTCCAGCACTTGCAAAGCAGAAACAGGAGAATCAGAAATTCAGTCATCCTCAGCTACATAGTAAATTTAAGGCCACTTTAGACTACATGAAAGCCTGTCTCAAAAAGAAGAAGAAGTGTATAATAGATAATAGTAATGGTTTCTAGAAAGGAAGAGCCCATTATAGGTTGGAATAGATAGCCAAGTGGTTTTGTGGCTGCCTAGAAAAATAAAAATGAAAAAGAGCGGTATCAGCAAAGGATAGTAATGCCTTTCCAGTTTCATTCTACATTAAACTTAATTTATACTTGTTATATGGGAAGACAACTGTGCTAAATGATTTTCATGTGTAATCTCATTTAAGCCTTAGTGCTGTGAGATATGTATATAATATTCCCATTTTAGTAATAGGGAACCAGACTCGGAGGGACCCTGTTCATGTACCATGAAATAGGAGTAAATGGGCTTAAAGTGGGTCTTTCTGATTCCAGACTTCATGCTCTTTATAGGCACCCTTCAGTGGGATAACAAAACCCTCTTGATAAATTTGAGTCTCCTGCTATTTCTATTATATATTAATATGCTCTTTCTGGATTCCTCTAGAACATAAGCTCCCCAAAGCAGAGATTTTGGTCTGTTTTGGTAGTGGTATATTCCCACTGCCTGGAACAGGTCTGGCACTAATAATAGTATGTCAGTGAATGAGCCCGTCTAGGAAATGAACAGGGTGATGTAATAGCATTAAAGGAAAGAGTGGTCTATCAGCCAGAGGAGGTAGAAGGGGAAAGCAGGAAAGATGAGAAAGAGCCAGCGCTGACCCCAAGTTTCTACTAGGCCTTTAGGTAGGCCTGCAACACAGCCTTCTCATTTGGCTTCACAGTCCCAGAGGGGAGAATTCTAGACAAGGCTCCAAGACTTACTGACCTACCAGGTTAATAGGCAACAGAATCTGGACTCACCCCAGAAAGCTCCAACTCCAAGAGCAGTGCTTTAGTCTGAGCAGAGTGACTAGACTGAGTGAAGTGGAGAAGCCCCCATACAGGGAAGAAGGCAGTTGAGGGGAGACAGGTCAGAAGCTGTGGTGGTGGGAAGCCCCTCAGAACAGTGACTCTGGAATGTTATTTGCCCCTTGGGACTGGTGTGTATAAGAAAAGGTGTTTTCAGGCTCAGGGGACAAGAAATTTGTCTGCAAGGTCACTGACATTGCCAAGGAGACAACTAGGGGAGCAGAGAAAACACCATGCCAGTGCAGAAACCATTTGGCAAGCTAGGGCAAGGCCTGGGAGACATGAACCACTGAGGGATGAGTTGTTGGAAATGGCTGATCTGGCCACGCATCAGGCTGTAAGAGGATAGCAGCTGCTCAGAGGTCCAGGCCCAGATAAGAAGGGGGGTCATGAGAGCAGAGGGGCACGGGGAACAGAAAAGACCACTCGTATAAACACCCACCCCCGAAACATACACCTACACCCCAGACAAACCCAGGCATTGCTGTGGAATGTACTTGGCTAAAAGCACAACAGCTGCTGTGTTGGCCGCCCTGCCCCAGGAGCTCCTCCCAGGCCTCTCCTCAACTTGCCTACATTTTCCCAAAGCAAATCTGCAGCTCTGGCCCAGCCACTCTGGTCTTTCCTTGGGCATGAACTCAGGCCCTTAGTTACCTGTAGGAACTGGAGTGGGTTCCTGGACAGGGCCCTTCTGTCTCTGCACCTGACTGACTGACCCTGTCAACACCTTTCTGTCTGGCTGTGCCACTTGTTCCTAGTCTCTCATATTCCCTCTTTCAGTGCACATTTCCAGGGTTTCTGTATGTCTGTGTGAAATCTTTCCATGAGGATACCTAAATGTCTACTTCTGTGGTATCCCTAAGGGTAAGAGGGTTAAGAGTTGAGGTGAGAGATGGGTAGTTTTTAAAAATGTTTGCCTCAGCTGGGCATGGTGGCACATATCTTTAATCCCAGCACTCAGGAGGAAGAGGCAGGCGGATCTTTGTGAGTTCGAGGCCAGCCTGGTCTACATAGTGAGTTCCAGGACAGCTGGGGCTACAAGGAGACCCTATCTCAAAAAGACAAAAAAAAGTTTGCCTCCTAACATTGTGTGATTCCTTGCATATGTGTTATGTGTGTGTATCTGTCTATCTATCTATCTATCTATCTGTGTGTGAATATGCATGTATATATATGTGCATATATATATGAATATGTGTGTATCCCTATAGTTAATGATGTAGCTCTTATGTGGGAGTCATTTAAGAAGTTATAAAGCCAAGTGTTGCTATAAGTGACCTTCGGGTTATCTTCGGTGAGGTAGGTAAGGGAGTAACCTAGCACTAACCACAGACACCTGGGTATTTGAGATCAGTAGCTACTGACTGGAGAGAGAGTTCTTTGGGGTGAAGTCAGGCTGACAGTCTGTTTAGTACATAACCCATGAATGCCAAATGAACACTTTTAAAGACCTCTGGCCAAAATAGACAATCCCTCACTCACATTTCTGTGTCTCCTACCCTCGCTCTATCTGGTGAATCCCAGAGTATGATGCTGTTCATTAGGGTGCTTTTCCTACTGAGCATTCCTCACCCCAAGTATAAACAGTACCACAGATGAGGCATAGAGTAAGTCTCCTCCCCTGATTGGCATCCTACATTCATCAGCCATTCCAGAGACTCATTTTATGCTCCTGTGTTCTTCAGAATGTCTTATGGCAATCTGATTTGCACACACACACACAGCCCCCTGATGCATGTCTGGACAACAGTGGCCTTCTTTGAGGACAGACTCGGGTTCTGGAGAGGCCAGGGAGAGTGGGAACATAGCAGTGTCATTCCAGAACACACAAAAACATTGCCCCCACTAAAACTATTCCCTTTCAGAACCAGGAGGGCTTTGATCTCTGCATAACTGCTCCCTCGAATTAAGGTGGCTTTGTTTCAAAGGTGTGATTTTTCTTCCCCTGAGAAACTTTGTCTCCACAGCTGTCTTACGTCAGTTGAATTGCTGGACGTAGATAATCAACCTCTATCCCATTATCCCTGGACTGAAAAGGATGACAGAAAGGGGAGATGGAAGTCCAACCCCTGGGCTGGGTGGGTTGGAAATCCCCCATAGAGAAGCCCAGAGGACTGAGAAGAGCCTGTGTATGACCTCAGTGTTATCTCTGCCCATGCTGCCACAGGTTAGCTGAGGAGCTGCTGGGACACAGGAAGCTCTGGTGAGTAGTATGGCCTCTCCTTCCCACAGCCCCTCTAGCTTCTTAGCATCCTTTCTTCCTCTTCCTTTTCTTCCATCACAGGTCCCAAGCTAAAGCATCCCTAACTTTACAATTAGATTTTTCTAAAAAAACAAAAAACAAAACCAAAAACCCAATTCCTCCTTTCCCTCTGCTGGAGCAGCCCTGCCACTGAACCTGTTTATCCTGCTCCCAGGTGCTGTGGCCTGTCTTGCATTGCACATCTGTCAACTGGCCCTCAGGCATGGCCTGGTGTCACCCACAGCTCTGGCTGAAGCAGTTGGCAGAGTGCCAGCAGAGTGGCAACCTCCCAGGGCTACCTCTACCTCTGGTATTCCACTCCTATAACCACTGTCCTCCCCACAGCAGAATTCCCCTGGACTCCCGTTGTCCTACACTGTCTTCTACTGTGCCCCCTTCAGGATCACACTGACTGCAGTGCAGAACAGCTGCCTGACAGAGCTGTACTTTCTCACTTCCCCAAAGAATTCATGAATCAAAGGACAGCTGCCCCACAGTGCCCATGGCCTTGAGGAATGAGTCTGTTCCATTTTTCCATCTCAAGATCTCAGCTCAGTCTGGTGCCAACTGGAAGCTATTGTAGTTTCTGGGTTAACTCTTTAAAAGCAGGGGACAAAAGTGGCAGATAGCCAGGGAAAGAGTCCACTCTTCAATTTGGACCTTTTCAGCCTCCCACTTCCCTCTTATTTTTTTCAATTTGGCATCTTCAGTTGTAGATCTTCAAGGCAGAAAAGCCAGGACCACGACTCTACAAGCCAGAAAAGGAACTTTTCTCAGACAACCTATGTAATGTCATCTCAGAACTGCCTCTGGGCTAAGCTGACTCCCAACCTCCCCTGAAGGGTCAGCCTGCATACTTGGTCCACATGGGCAGGCTCTAGATGGGCTGTACCAGAGCAGCAGGCCTCACTGTGCATATGCAGGTCAGGCTCTTTCTGCAGCAAGCCCAGGCTGCCATAGTCTGCTGGGGAAGTCGGTAACTGACTAAGGCCTACTAGAGTCTGCCAAGTTCCCCCTATCCCCAGGACAAAAGGGACTGCATAGATGGTATGAGCACCATCTGGCCTGCATCCTTGGTGTACATGAGGAAACCAAAGCCCACGCCCAAGAACTTGGTGCCAGGGCTAGAATCATCCTGCTTGTCTGCCTCACCTCCTGTCCTCTTTGACCCACATCAGTTTTCAGAAGCCAGAGGCAGAGAGAGATGTAAAGTACCTCACACTCTGCAGCCTGCTGTCTGCTGAGTAGGCTCCCTTCCCTTCCTCTAACCTTCATCAACACCTCTGTACCCTCTACCCTTCACCACACTTCCTCCCAAGAAACCACCCCTTCCAAACCTGGAATTGTAAACCCAGTTCCCTTCAAGTACTTCCTGGCCCTGTGACATAAACAATGGCCTCAGAAGACCCCTAAGGTCCTACCAGGAGAAAGAAGGCCCCTTCACACACACACACACACACACACACCTTACGTTACAGGGTTGAGAACCCAAGCCATTCCCTCCCTGCAGATCTGCTGGTTCATAGCTGTTAGCAGCCTTACTCTGAGCTCCACAGTGTGCTGGTGACTAACAGTGAGTCTGTCTTGCACAGGCACAGAGGCCAAGGAGCAAGCTGGCACCGACAAGACAAGGGAAGGTCTTCCCCCAGAGGCACATTCCTATCCATCTTTCCGCTGCACACCTGGACCTGACTTGCAGGCTGCCAGACTCACTCCACCACAAGAGAGGAGCCAAGCCTGTGGGAAGTGGGGAGGGACTGCCCAAGGCCCCAGCTGGTGGGCCTCTCTTGTAGCCCTGCATGTACTAGCATCTGCATTCCTCCCTCAGGGCATGGTCTCATCTCTGCACCAGGAATTTACCAGGAGGTCGAAAAGAAAAGAAAAAGTGCTGAGCCCTTGTGTGTTCCTGACCTGATGGGGTTCCTCCTGGCATCTGGCCAGAGCCGGGTGCATTCCCTAGGTGGGGACACAAGTTTCTTTCCTACCTTTGACTTTTAAAAACCAACAGGTCTTCTGTCTATGCAAGAAAGCTGCAGGCCTTGCTCAGTTCTATAGACATTCACACCCTGGCCTCAGTGCTAAAAATAGCCCCCTTCCTTTTTCGCACTGGTGAGGCTTCCGCCTGCACAGTGGTGTGCAGTGCTGTTGCTTTGCAGCCAGGAGGGGGGCAGCAGCATGCTGAGCACCAAATTGGGGCTGGCCACCAGGGGGCGCACTGCCTGGGCGCTGCTCATACAGCCTCTCCCCTGGGTTCCAGTGTTGCTACTACTGCACACATGATCACCAAGTCCAATTCACATTGATTTTCATTTATTTTTTCTGTTCTCTGGGCTCCAGGATGTTATTTTTAGAAGAGCTAATGTAAATATTTATAAAGGACAGTGACTGGAAGTGAGAGGCCCCACAGCTGGCTTTGCACCACCCCTTCTGCAGACCCCTGCTCCTAACTTTGAGGTGTGTGCAGGGCCATAGGCTGAACCCATGGCCACACATGGAGGGGATCCCATGATAATCTCTTAAAGGAGCAGTCAGTGGAGAACAAAGGGTGGATGCTGGTGCCTTCAGGACTTCCCACCTGTCTCTCCCTTACTTCCATTTCTAGTCAATGTCAAGACTGGAGTGGGAAAAATGTTCAGAAATTTGCTGAGCCAATGTCCTCAGTGTCCTAGATACTTAAGTATGAGGGGCAGGTGCACCATGGATCACTACCACTGTGAGGACAAGAAGGGGAATAGGAAATGAAAGCTGGCTTCTGCTCAGCTATGACAAAGACACTCAACTTTCTGGTCCACATGTGGTGAGCCATCAGTGCTAAGGACCTGGAGAGCCAACAGGAGCTTGGGCATAGAAAACATCAGTGAAAAGGTCACCTACACTCAGGGAAAGGAGGTTCTGACTTACAGAGCACCACAGGTTAGTATCCCTACGTGGAAAATTCTGGGGACCACATACACAGAGCACCACCAATGATGAAATTAGCTGCAAGAGTATGGCAGCCTCAAAGATACCATTGTGGGGGTATCTGTGCTTTCCCCATCCTCGCTTCTCACATTCCGTGCCCTCTAAGCACAGGACAGACTACCACCCTCTGACTTCTCACATGAGCTGCTTGCTTCCCCTCCAGCAACAAGAGCCAAAGGAACAGTTGGACTAAAAGCACTGCTGCATGTAAAGCAGCCCAGTTGAGGTTCAGGCTGCAGGGCCAGTGACTGCTCTCAGCCTGTCTCTGGGAGTAGCAGAGCTCACATCACTACTGGCTACTCCCAGCCAGGGTAGGGGTGAGGGTCATGGAAATGTTGGCATGCCTGTGTTGCCAACATTTAGCACATGGTATCTGCTTTTGTTATATAAGTTCTTGATTTCTTTTAGAGCTGGAATACCATTGTTATCTAAGGCCCCGAGGTGCCTTGTGACTTCTTGGCATCTGCTTTCAGACATGTTCAGCACGAGGTCCTTTCCTCTACCCTAACCTGGAAAACAGACCATTTTATGATGGGAGCTTTCGTATTAATTTTTCATAGACACTGTGGAGCCTAATTTAACCTAAGCAGATGATCTTTGATAGACATGTGCTGGCAAATGCCCCTCGCCTAGAAAGCTGGATTGCCCTACAACTGGATTGCTGCTGTATGTGGCTGGGGAGACCCTGGGGGGCAACCAGGTGCACCCTGAATTTTCTTTTGTATGTGTTAGATCGACATTCTTGTTGTGTAGCTCAGGTTGGCCTCCACCTCTTCAATGCTGGGATTCCAGGTGTGTGCCACCAGCCTGGCCATACCAAGTCTTGAAGCAACCCCCCAAGCTCTGGAGCATGAGTCCAGCCATCCTGAGCTGTTCTCACCTGTCTCCACCCCATCTGCTGACCCTTTATCCCCCAGCAGACTCCTTTCCTGCACTGCTTGCTCCCTGCTCCAGGTACCTACCAGCTTTGGAGAGCTGCTGTTTCTATGGCAATGCTGAGTCATCTGAATTCCTGCTGCAGCCTCTGGAATAGGAGGGCTTATGAAGAGCTGCTTGGTGGGCTCCAAGCCTGGCCTCAGTCTCTGCACTCTCAGGGGTCTGATGTTTGGTTGTAACTGGAGTGTGGAAGGTAGGTGGCCTGCTTGCCTGCCTGCCTCTGGAAGACCCCTATGGTGGCAAACAGACATACCTGCACAGGCTCTCAGAAAGTGAATGAGGATTCCCAGAAGGAGTTCTTAGGCAACATCTATGCCAGTGGTTCTCAAACTTGAACATTCATCAGAATCCTTACTCTAAAGGGGTTGTTAAAGAGCCAGGTCTTGTCTCTAGAGTTTCCAAGTCAGTACCTCTGGGCTGGAACCAGAGCTTTGCAGTTCTAGCAAGTTTCAGTGATCTTGGTGCTTAGTCTGGAGATATACTAGGAGCACAACTGCTCTAAGCTTTTATGAAGAGGAAACCATTTGTGTGTCTATGTATTCCGTGCCAGTGGAGGTCGTAAGAGGGCATGGGATCCCCTGGAACTGGAGTTACAGAGAGTTGGGAGCCACTATGTGGGTGATGGGAACTAAACCTAGGCCCTCTCCAAGAACAGCACACACCCTTAATCACTGAACCATCTCTCCAGCTCCATATGCTGAGTTTCTATCTCATTTCTAATGATCAATAAACAGACACTTCAGATACAGCAGGAGTGGGGTTGGAGAGTGTGAAGGCAAGAACATTAAGTTACAGAGGCCCAGTGGCTTAATGGGTCATTTATGGGTCAGCAAGCTCAGAGATTGGGGGGGGCACTAGTGGCCCCCTATCAGAAAGTTTAATAAGATTAGGATGGAAGCCACCTCTATTTTTTTTACAATGAATTAGAGAGCTGGGCTTTGGAGAAGCTGGACTGACCTTAAGACTCAAAACTGGGTACCAAGTGAGCCATTCAACAGAGGAGAATGACATAGTCACTGTGCAGTCTTCTCATTACTTAGGTTTGTGGCTTTATGAATGGGAAGGGGGACTGAGCAGAATAGGACCCAAAAGTTTGTGGGTTGTTTTTTTGTTTTTTTTTTTTCTAATGTGTATGAGCATTCTGCCTGCATGTATATAAGTGCACCTGTGTTGTGCAGTGCCTGCAGAGGTCAGAAGAGGACACCAGATCCCCTGGAACTGAAGTTATGGACAGTTGTTAGCCACCATATGGGTGCTGGGATTCAAACCTGGGTCTTCTGTACAGAAACTCCTCTCCCAATATAGGCCTATAGCCATAGCCACACTATCAGTTGGAGTTGATAAACTTGAAGCCTTTGGAAGGATGGTCTGGCTGCTGTTTCCCATCCACACTGTCCCATCCACACTGGCAAGGGACAGATGAATAGTGCACATGTGGCCATACCTGCAGATCTCTAGTGGGTGCTGTGGTTTCCCTGTGGAGAGTAGAGCTTTAGATTCAGCCCCTGGCTTGGAACTGGTGTGGCATTTCCCTCACCAGGCCTGAAGGTCACAGGTAGACACTAGGTTTTTTTCTCAGGTCCAAAGATCTTCAATCAGTCACCAGTAGGAAATGTCACATACCAGGCACCATACCCTAGTGGGCAAGAATCTGTAAATAATCCATTTGGGTCCTGAGTCTGAAGCCAACAAGTGTTCTCCCCACAGCTCCCTAAATCTCAGTCCCAATGGTTAGGTAGAGCCCAGTCCTTTGCTTCCCCCAGAGGGTATTCCTTTCTCCCTGTGGTCACTAGAAGCAGTAAACCTTGCTTCCTGCTTCCCTGGAGCCCCTCCTTGTCTGCTGCCTTTCCAATTGCCTCTCTACTGATCACTAGTGGTTAGGATGTTTGGAAGGAGTATCACACTTTGGCTGCTGAGAATGAGCCATGCAGTGAGAAGGTGACTAGTCCTAGGTGATAGGAGCAGCTCTGGGCCTAGGCAGGAACCAGGCACAGACAATGACTATGAGGGAGCCCCACCCTCTTCCCCTCTTTTCTCCTTGGCCCCTGGTTGGTGCCTGTCCTACTTTCATCATTGCCTAGGCTCACCTTTAGCCACCCAGCCCAACCTGAGAGCTCAGAGCTCTGCAAGAGGGGAACAAAAGCCCAGAGAATACAAGGAACAGCAGGCGAAGAACTGGGGGAAAAAGGGGAAAGCATAAAAAGGAATAGCCTGTAACCGCAGACAAGGCGAACAGTGCTTCATAGGAAACAACAGGCTTCAGGTGAGCTACCAGGAGGCAGAGGCTGCTTCCCTCACCATGCACCTAAGTCTCAGGCAATGACTTCCTTTGTCCAAAAGCAGCTCATTAACTCTGAATATTACCTTAATTATTATGGCCCTACTTGTTTGCCACAGAGTGCTCCCCACCATCCAAGCCTGGGGACCTAACTGCATAGCCCCTTCAGCAGGCTCCCAGGCACAGGCACTGCCTCCTGTGCCCCAAGACTTATCAGCCTCTCTCTTCCCTTGATACCCCACCCCTACCCCAGACCAGCTCTTGTACCCTCAGAGGGGCTGATGGGATTTCCTGGGGGTTGCATGCTTCAAGGAGGCCGCTTATCTTTCTGCCTTCGGCCATCAAGGGAGAATGGAGGGAATTAGATTGGGGTCATCCAGAGGCCTCGGGCCAAACTTTGCACACCCATGGGGTTTAAAGCTAGTGTAGCGGGGAGGGGCCGTGGTTTAACAGTTCTGTTTGCTGAGGCCCCTAACCTGAGCTGCCCAGGGCCCCACTTGGCACTCAGGGTTTTTCCTGCCCCCATTTTATGATGGGTTTTTATCCCCTGCTGTTCTGTTAAGGTGAGACAGCTCCATGACAAGGTCACTCAGGCTGTGTTGTGCACACACAGCTCCCCTCAGAAAAGGCCTTCTAGTTGGCACACCCAGGCACGCCCTGCCCAGGAACTTGCTCTGTGATCAGAACTATGTCCACGTTAAACCCTATGTCCAGAAA